CAGACCAGGGCTGAGTTCTCCCAGACCCCTTGGGATAGAATTGCTGTCTCGCTTTGTCAGCCCACTAGAAGATGATGTATGGATGTAATGATAATAGTGAATACCTATATCAATATTTCATTCTTTAAAACTGGCACAGCTGTTTCCTTGCTGCTTAGTGAACCCAGCTTGTTTTCAGAGCAGAGTTAAGCATTCCTATTGGTAGACTGAGGCACAATTCAAGTACTTTTAGCAATCTGTTTCACAATCAGTTGGAGCTAAATGATTTAAGGATTTATCTGCTCTGCCCCAGTGTCTGTGTAGATGTCCTTATAGAAGAACATGTCTGAAATTCAGGGAATTTGATGCATTTTTTTGACCTAACTGTTAAATACAGAAAACCTTGATCTGTTTCTGTTTGCTCTAAAGGTGCTTTCCCTTCTGTCAAGGATCTGACCTTGACATGAGGTTTGTGCATGTACAGGGAGTGCTTGATTGGACTCAGGTGGACTGTGCACATATTTGAGTGGCACTGGCTGATGAGAAGACTATGTCAGCATGGTAATGGAATCTGTTCCTGTTTACATGAGATGTCCCATAGATTTTGATTATTCTGAAATTTCCAGGGGAAAAGATAAATGAAGAAGATCTAAGATGCTAACACTTGTTACACTGCTCCACATGCCAAGTGATTTGCCACTGATGCAGATGACAGTGTAAGTATGAACCCATCAGACCTTGCTGTTTCTGTCCCAAATGAGGCTGGCTGAGAGGATGCCAAAGAAGGCTGCATGGCAGAGCTGCTATTACCAGTTTTCCACCAGCTCTGGACTGGCCTGTGGCAGTATGAGGTGCAGGAGAAGAAAGTGCTTTGAATTTTATATGACTGGTAGTGGCGTGGGAGCTTAAAAAAATGTGCAACTCATTATACACAGAGCTCATCCTTTGTAGGTGACTTAGATGCCCATTGCTAAGCATAGAGAAGATGATGGTGGTTATTGTTCAGACATTAGTAATTCTGGGTTGTAAAAAGTCTGGAATGTTTCCAGTTTGGGACTTCAATAACTGGAGTTGCTGGGAAGTGTGGGGAGAGGAAAAGGAAGCGCTTGTCTGTCCTTTACTGTCTACAAACAAGAAGTGGTTGCTGTCATTGCACATGGAGGTGATTTCCCTGTTCTCCCTGCCCTGGCTCACATGTTGAAGTTTTGCATAATCAGAAAAAGCTTTTGTCAGTTTGTCCACGATATGGTTGTACCAGTGTTACCTTTTTATCTTTCTTGGCCATGCATAAGACACTGGCTGCACAATGGTAAAGTATTTCAGGCTCTCTGTGGCCACAGACTCACAGATGTGCACTGACCCTGCAGAGGAACAGGATGAATCTCTGTCCTCCCCCTGCTTGGTAACTGCTTTGCCCTTGAATCTGTGACCGTGGGAGGGTGCAAGGGACACATTCTGTCCCCCCGACATTGTACAGCATCACCTGAGCAGCACCAAAGGATGATGGAATCTGAATTTAGGTAGCACATGCAATCTGTGAGGCTGTGCCCAGGGTTTTTTCTCTGCAGGTGAAATTTTCATGATGCTCACAAATACTTTGTAGAGTCTGTCAGCAGATGTTGCACACCATGGGTGCCCAGAGGTGTCTGTATGACTGGGACACGAGTGAAGACAGGTACAGCCACATCTTGAAGGAGGAAGCTCTGGTGAGCTCTTTGACTCACCATGCTTGATTGTCCCTGTTAGTACAGACTTTTAACACCACAAGTAATAAAGTGAGTTTCCAGCAGTAAATTTTCTGCATCTGCTTTATTTGTACATGGATGGCACTGGCTGTGGAAGTGAGCCAATGCAGCGCTGCAGCCATTGCATCCTAAGCAGTGTTCTGAAAATTCAGTTCACTGTTACAGCAGCAGGTGTTGCTTAACCTTCCCTTGGCCAGCTTTGATTTATTACAGTCCTTTCTGTCAATACAGGATGTTACCTGAAGTAACTGAATAGCACATATTCACAGTGTAGCCAAGGCAGCACTCACAGTGGCTCAGTCCCTTGGCATGTGACCTGTGCTGAGAGAGAACTGGGGATCCCAGCTGGGCTGGCTGTGTGGGTGGATGCTCATCTGGGCTGTTCTGATGATGTTGGGGAAGACCAAGTATCCTTACACCAATATGACTGGTTAAGGAGGCTGCTGTGTAGGTGCCAAATGTGGAGGAAAAATATATCTTTAAATGCTGCACTTTCAAAACTAGATAAATATTATCTACCTGTTAGGCCATCAAAATTCCCATCTCCATTTGATTTCAAGAAGAATTGTGTTGTAAGGCAGACAGATTTGTGCTGTGGTCTGAAGCTCATTAGATTTGAATTAAGACACTGAATTTAGTAAAACTTCTTCCAGTGGCAGCAGAGAGAACTGGGTGTGACCTCTGGTTTTTTTCTCCTTCAGCTATATTTTTGGAGGTAGAGGTAGGAAGGACCTTGGGAATTGAATGTACCGGAAATTGGCCAGTTTGGTAGGTGAACATGTAGATCTCAACCCCGGAGTTTTCTGTCAGGCTGATGTTCTGCATGTTAGCAGGCCAAGTGTCATGGAGTCCAGACTGTAATGTAGCCTGAAGGTGATGTGGTCTTGGACAGCACTTGAAGCTGGTCTCAGCAATTCGTTTTGAATTGTCACATTGTCACAGTTGAAAGTACACATAAAATAGTACCAAACAGTAAAATCTGAACAAGGGTGATAGTTGGGCAAGTATTGCTGGGTCAACATAAAAGTGAAGTGGAATTTGCCTTGTTTAACCTTTCAATTTGCTATTTCATGTTTCTCCAGTAATCTCCTTCCCAAAAATGGGAGTTCGGACCATATCAGTGCAGCAGCATTTGTGCAATACTGATAGAAAGAGGGTTTCCTATGAGAAGTGGGTGAAAACTTGTCCCAGTTACCCCTGGACTGCCCAGGTATCCTGTGGCTCTCTAGTCCAGAAGCTGCACCTGAAATCCTTCAGTTCTGCTGAGTCACAGGCAGGCGGGAGGCTGGAATCCATCCTGAACTGTCAGGCTGCTGCCAGCTGGGTACAGTCATTGGCAAAGGCATGAGATCAATAGAGGAAAAACATCTAAACAAGTATTTAGAAAGATTACTGGGTGTGGGGAGAGGAAGAGTTTTCCATGTTCCTTAAAGGGAAGGATGCTTCAGACACTGAGAAACTTGTTGTATTGCTTTTAACCTTGTGCTAGAGTTTTACGTGACTTGGTTGAAGCAGGGATTGATGTCTGTAGCTTTTAGCTGTATTTTAGGAGCAGTTTGTCTCATCTTGTGGCAGTGTAGAAATCACAACTCTTGTCACAAGCACAAGAAAGGGTAAATAAAACACTTCTGGAAGGTCCTTTTATTTTTTTCCTCAGAAAACACACTCAAGGACACTGGGCTGTCTTGGGTTGGAACTGCTTGTGAGCTTAGTCCTGCCTGTTTCCTTTTTCATCTCCCCCCTCCCTGTGAGACCATTGCTTTGGGGCATAACAGGGAATTGCCATAGACCACTTAGAAATCTTTATGTGCTACTTCTGTAATTCACTGTATGTCTGTCATACTCTCTGAAAGATGTTCCATAGGGATGTATGCTGAAGAAGGAAAGTATTTCCTTGTGCCAAGAGAAGTGGCCTGCCTTTTAAAACAGGAAAAGGCAACATAGCATGTAGCATTTAAACTTTCTGACTCTCACTCTTCATTTGCCCTTATAGTGAGTGTGTGTTTTTGTCTTTCTGGGGGTTTTGTGTATTAAACAATGGCTGGACTGTGGTGTCCAAAGGCAGTTCCCTGTGAGAAATTCACTACCCACAGGAAAAGTTGGCTCACGGCCTCTCTGTAGCCCAGGAGGGTTCGCTGGCAGAGCCCCGAGATGCCGGGGAGCATGTGACAGCGGGCTGGCTTGTCTGCGCTGCCGGAGCCAGGGAAAGGCAGTGGAAAGTATTCAAGGCTGCCCTTAAAGTTTAACGTGCAGAGAGGGTGGTTGTCACCATTTTTCTTTGGTTTTGGAGCTACCTTTGCTGCATGCAGAAATGCAGCTTCTCTCTGTGTTGTGGGGGTTTCTCTCGAGCTGTGTAGAATAATAGCTCCTTTATGCTCATCTGTGTTACTGAGGCGATTTACATAACGAGGAGCTGATCCCATTTCACCTCCGGCCGCCATCCGACACGAGGAAGTCCGCGTTTATCGGCGATTTCTCTCGCGGCCGTACAAAGCGCTGTGGTCAGCAGGGAAGGTGGAGCCCGGGCTTCCCCTCACGGCCGGCGGCTGCGCCCCGGTGCCGCCGTGACTCACCCGGCTCCCCGCACACAGCCAATGGTCCCGCCGCATTCCCCAGGCGTCTGACGTGGCTGTGCCGCGGGGAGGTGTCGGGGACAGCCGGGGCCGCTGTGTCAGGGCTGGCTGAGCCGCCGCCGCGCAGTCCGGGATGGGCCTCGTGGCCCTGGGGAGCCCTCGGTGCCGTGGGAGCGGCTGCTCTGCCGCTCACGCTCCCCTGTGCTGTAGGCCTGGCAAATGCACCTACAAACTGATCTCCAGGGAGAGGTCTCAGCTTGGTCCACCCTGGCATTGTCTAGTTGTCCACATAGATGGATTTTGCCTGCAGCTCGTTTGGGGAAAGAGTTAGGAAATGCTGATGAAGGGCTGTGGGTGATAGGTGACAACTGCTGCTTATATGCAGAAGGAGCTAATAGATTACTTGTCTGATAATTAGTCCTAAGTTTACTTGGGGGAGGAGGGAACTGTCATTATCAGCTTTAAGGCAAAGCAGCTCATTGCATGTCAGTCCAACACTGTAAAAAACCCCCAACCTCCCCACCAAACTACTGCCATGTACCTCTTCTGTGGCCCTACATATGAAAATGAAGTAAAAATGATGTGGCATGTCACTGATGGAAATCTATTTCTGCTTTTCTTTGCTATGAAAGCCTTCTTTAGAGGCATCCAGGGAGACCTGACCCCATAACGGAGATGCAATGCTTTGTTTCTACCCCGGTAGGTTTCCCCATGTCCGTGACGTGTTGGCCGAGGCTCTGCGGCTCCTCTCCGCCCTCGGAGCGGCCAGTCGCTGCCCTCTGGACTCCGTGATCCCCGACGGGCGTCATGAGCATTGCAATCCCTCTGGGAGTCACCACACCAGATACGTCCTACTCCGACATGGCTGCAGGATCGGAGTGAGTGTTACCCCAGGGATGAGGAGAAAGGAGAGCGGGAGGGTGCCAGAGGGCTCACCTGGAGTCGGGCTGTAGGATTGGTGCCTGTGCTTTCTCCACTCGGGAGAAAGGGGCTGCTGAGAGATGGGTATTAACAAAGGCAGTGTTATGGAAATTGGTAAGTTTGACAGAGGATATGGGGAAAAGGAGAATTCCAGCAGTATGAGGCACTCAACCTTGGGTTTTTTATCAGCTTGGCTAGTAAATCTATACTCAAGTGCAGGCAGTCGTGCATTTGCTGTACCCAGGCTTGACGTTGGCATGGTACAAACCAGCTCCTTTTCCAACAGCTGCAATGTGAGGGATCAGCGTGCTGAACCTTCCTCTCAGTAGAGCCTATTAGCTCAGACTTGGTACCAGTCTTGTGTGACTGATTTGTGGAGACCTTTGGAGTTTGACAGAGATGTGAGACAGCATCAGCCTGGGTAGGCACCTTTATTTTGTTTCTGCCCCTGAGCAGACTCCAAGGAGCACACCTCAGAGAGCATCCTTTGGAGTCCCCACCACAGGACCATGTGCAGGGCTCTCACTGCAGCCGTATCTCTGAGGCCTGTTGGAGAGGACTTACCTTTCTTTGAAAACACACTGCTTCTGCAGAGTCAGGAGCATTTCAAAATCAGGAAATACTGCATTGTGATCTCTTCTTAAAACCCTTGTTTGAATGATGTCAGCTAGGATTAGAGTATGTTTTTGTCAGGGATGAGAGCGAGGGCTGAAGTTTATTTCTGTGTGCTTCTGCCTCCTGCTTGCCTGCATCCTTCTTTGAAACACAGACTGTAGTATCTCTTTAAAAAAATCTACAAATGACATTTTGGAGATAGATTTCTCCCATGTATTATCTAGAGGTATCTATTATGCAAATACCTGCATGTCAGCTGGATCAGTGTAGAACAGAAATTGCTCCAGACTATTGATTTTGATCTGTAAGAGCAGTGGGCTAAGGTTTGAATCACTGTTTTTCCCTTCCATCTCACCCTGATTCGACTATGCATAGAGTTTGACTACATGGTTGTACTCTCTGCAAGACTGCTAATGCTCTTTTTTGTCTGTCTTGGCACTGGCCCCATTCTAGCCATTCTGCTTTGTGATGCTTCATTCCATCCTAAAGCCCACATTTTTACATGTTGTTTTTAAACAGAGAATCAGAATCTAGTAAGTCACTCATCTGCGCTGGTTACATGATCCTTCACTTTTCAAGATCTATCATTTAGTACTGCTTGTCACCCTGCTTCTCCCACAGCAGCACTTTGAAGACTCAACATGCAGGAATTTTAAACTGTTTATGGCAGGAGGAAGAGTGCTAAATAGTTTGCTCATGTACTTTGCTTTCGAAGCTGAGCGTGGTAGGGAGAAGAGCCAGATGTGTCTGCGCATGTGTCCCTTGTAGCATTTAAGTATCAAAAAGACTGACTGTAAACCTTCTGCAAAGCATTTTCTTTCTCCCTTGTCAGAAATTTGTAGGTCCAACTTGAGGCTAGGCTGGAGTGCTAAAAAGGTATTTGAAGATTTCTGAATTGGTTTCTCTGCCTGTTTTCTAAAAATTGGGAATGCCAGGACTTCATTCTCCAGGCTTTGCATCAATGCACTGTTACTGCTGAAGTGTCCTTCATGGGTCTATTCAAAGTTAAGGCTGTCCTTCACTTTGCCTTTGAAACTCTTTGGTTTGATACATAAAGTCTGGGGTACCTGAGCTTTGTACCTCTTAAAAGGATTTTATTCCGAGATGTGCATCACGAAGGCAGTGGGGAAGGTAAAAGGAAAACGAGCTGATCTCTTTACAGGCTGAGCTTTAGCATCTTCCCCAGCCTCTGATACAGAGAGGAGGTGAAAATGGTGTTGCTGTTCATCTGAGGGTGCTATGGAGGCTGCAGAGTAGTTTTCTGTGTTAGTCTGACTGCATACTGGGAGGTGTGGAAGCTCCTTGGCATGCTGCTGCTGAGGAAGCATGGGCCCCAGCGTTGTTGCCCCTGGACACCGTTGCACCAACAATTCTGAAGTTTTATTGCTAATGCTTGCAGAGCATTGCTGGTATTCCAGTCTGACTGTGCTTAGGAATGTGGGTGACTTGGACAGAGGACATATCTGCTGTTTAGAGAGTTCAGGCACTTTTCCTTCTAATACTGAAATATTTCTGAAAGGGTTATTAAACCTGAATGGATTTGACACTGTACCAATCTGAAAGTCCTAAAGGATTGTTGCAAAGGCTGGATTATGTGGCAAGCTCTACATGGTACCTTTTATTAAGAAATACATCCTTTGAGAGAGAACATCTATATCTCCTGCTTCTGACAGTTTAGCTGGCTGTAGTCACATTGAAAACTGACTGAATTTATCATGTCATGCACCTAAATCCTGAGCTACAGAGTTGTTTTTTGCATAGGTGTAATGTCTTCTACTTTCTGCAGTTCTTTGTACAATAAATTATTGCTCCTTTATGTTGCAAAGACAGAGCCACCTTACTCCAGAATAAGCCAGAAGCTCAGAGGTTGGTGCCTTGGAGAATAGATGAGGTTGAGTGGCAGGGTGGGGCAAACTTCAGTGCAGCAGAGATTTCAAGAGCTAATAGGAAGTCCAAAGGGCAAGGGGTTGCTCTTCTTGGGTGCCTAAGCCCTGCCCCACGTGTGGTTGCTGGCCATTGTTTGATGGTGCCTGATTCATGCTGACTATGTAGGACCCACTGAGAATCCTGTGAGACCTCACCAGAGCAGCAGAGGTCTGAGGTAAAGTTTTCCTTTTCTATATTTTTCTTCCCTGCTTGCTCAGCTCCATGCTGTAATTTTGATGAAGATTCCATCTGCAGACATGATTCAGTAATACTCTGCCATACTCTGATACAGGCCCTACTTCTGATCTGTGCAGGTTATCTGACTTGTATCTTCTCCTTGTAACAGAAGACAGCATGTTTCCTTGCTGGTGTTCTGTCTCTAGCCTCATTATCTAATATCCCCTGCATTGAATTGCAGCTGTTCCTTCTCTGAGTAGGTTTTCTGCAGCTTTCTGCTGAGGATATACCTTTGATTTTTAGCTGTTTTTTTTCACCACCCTGTGGTGGAAGAGTGCATTGTACCTTAGCAGCAGATTTCCTGTTCTGCTCATTGCAGGCTGCTGTATAGAAAGCTCAGGGTGAATCTGATCTGTCTGTGGCCACTATCTGTCCAGGACATGGATTTTGTTGTCTCTTTGTAACAGGAATCTCCTGTTCCTGGTAGTTGCTGTCAGGATAGCTGCAGTTTTCATGCAGGCTTTATCACAGGCTGTTGGACTCAGGAACAATTGGTATCTGAGGGAGAGAGAAGCAAGTGCAGGTGCAGGAAAGCTGCTTAGCTGCAGTTGAAATAAGCTGTTGCAGAGATAAAATGGCAGTACTGTTCAGTGGCTTTGAGATTAGGCTAGCTGGGTTCAGAGGCGAATGCTGAACTAGACCCAATTTCCTCAACAATAAGGAAACTGAGCTTCTTACATGCTAATTACCTTTTTAACTTCCCAGACTGAGACCTAGTTTTAATGAGCTATATAGGGTGGCCCTTACTCAGTTCCTTCCCTCTGAGAGCAGGTTCATCCTGTACAGCTTCTGCACACATGATGCTTGGTGAAACGCATGACACCACCTCGATTTCATGAAGTTTCTTCATTTTGAGCTCATGTGTTCAATAGAAAAGAGCAGTGAAATACTGGCACTAAAAAAAAAATGATGTTGTATTGATGGGTTTTACTTCTGGCCCTTTCTGCAGCCCAGAGTCTGTGGAAGCTAGTCCAGCTGTCAGTGAGAAGAATGTGTACTCCAGCCACGGCTATGGGGCCACCCAGAAACACAGCTATCGCGGGCTGCCTTACGCAGTGAGTACTCTCTCTGCAGTGAATCAGCTCTTTACTGTCTACTTTTGCTCTTTTCTGCTTGTTCCATAGTTCTTTGCCTATTAAGCCTTAGGAATTTTGGCTTATTTCTTAGGGAACACTAAGTTAGAGCTGAGTGCTGCCATACGTTTTTCATTTCTGTGTTTATTGTTTGTGAAGTCTTGCATACTCTACAGCAAACTTTATTAGTGTTCTAGGTGATAGATTTTTAACTGAATGAACTAAATGAATGAAGTGTGAATATATATGAATATATAATATTTTCCTGGTGGTAATTTTATGCCCCATTTGGTTTATTGTGCACTATTTATACTTGTTTCAACTGCACAGATTTTCACAGTGGTGACTTAAAAGAACGAGGATCAAGGAGCAGTCAGGAGCATGGGAGGGGGAGCATGGCTTGAACAGGGTGTCACAGAATCATTGAGGTTGGAAGGGGCCTCTTGAGATCACATAATGCAACTTCCCTGTTCAAGCTCTGCCTGAACAGGTTGCTCAAGACCATGTCCAGTTCAGTTTTGAATATCTCAACAGGCAGAAACTCTACATCTCAGGGAAGCTGGTTCCACTGTTTAACACTTATGTCATCTCAGATTATTAGCAGTACAACAGTTAATGTTGAAATAGCCTGGTTGTTTTCATAGGTTTTGAGTTTAATTCATTGGTGCTGAAGGAAATAATTTACATGTTTCAGAGCTATTACTGTGCCTTCTTGATAGGCTGAGGAATTCAGGCTATTGTTTTACACCAGTTAAATATTAACCTGGGAACTGTGGATTTGGGACTTCAGTTTCTAGGCATCATATCTTCACATTAAAAGTAGTACTGCAAATACTCATTTTCAGGATCATAATTATGGAGCCCCTCCTCCTCCAACGCCGCCAGCCTCTCCTCCTGTCCAGACCATTATACCTCGTGCAGAACTGAATGGCCTGCACTCACCTGATGAGGAGAACTCCGGGGATAGTGAGAGCTCCTCAGAAGGAGAATCAATTCCCACTTGGTGCCACTGCAGTGTCTCTCAAGATGGTTTCCTCCTCAAGTGTGAAAAGTGCAGGTAAGCTTTGGTGCAGTGCAGATCTGGGCTGCTCCTTGTCTTGACTGCTCATACTGAACCGTGTCACCTTTGGGCTGTGGGACAGACTTCCTTTTGCTAACTGGAGCGTTCTTTCCAGTGCTTTACCCAGTATTGACCCTCCTCCTTTGCGTTGTCAGCCTGACAAGTGTTGGTGGCACCAGGAGTGGAGATGAGGATGTTAAATCGATGTTCTTATCATCCTGGGCCCCACTGAGGGCACGCATCTTGTGACATCCTGTTGAATTTCAAGTGACTTTACTCCTACAAACCAGCTTCAATTGTGCATTCTCCTTTGGCAGAGGAATGAGCAGGGGGAAGGTGATCAGACTCCGCCACCGGAAGCAGGACAACGTGTCAGGTGAGTTTGAGGTTATAATTCTGATAACAGTGACTTTTATTTTCCTTTTTCAAGACCTTTGTCTTTTGGATGCTGTAATCATTTAACTGTGATCAGTGCCAGCTAATGTTCTTTGCCTCCCAACCACTGGGATTTTCTCCTCTCCTTACGCTTCACCTCAGTTAGCTCTAGGGAAAATCAGATTATCTTGTGAACAGAAAAGGAGAATTTTCATCAGTGCCATTCTGTGACATATCAGAAGTTTGGAACACGTGTTCCCAGTTTGGGTGGGAAAACTGAGGTGATATAATACTCTCAGGGAAGAGCTATGCAGGGGCAGCAAGTTGTCTTGATGAAAACAGACATAAGGGTAATCTGTGCTCTCAGGGATGAGAAGCTGTTCTCATGAAGCACTTGTCTCTCTAGGCGGGGACAGCAGTGCCACTGAGAGCTGGGATGAAGAACTCTCTCCCTCCACAGTGCTGTACACGGCCACGCAGCACACGCCCACCAGCATCACGCTGACCGTCAACCGCGTCCGCAGGAGCAAACCCAAGAAGAGGAAGAGGAGTACAGAAAAGGCTCGTGCTGCTCCAAAGGCCAAAAAGATCAAGGTATGTGGAGAGAGACAGGGTTGCTGCAGTTCCTACCAAATGCTGTGCAGTGTTGTTATGAGCAGGTTGACAAGCGGGCAGCAGACAAAATATTTTTGTTCTGTCAAGAATTGCTCTTTTGGGTGTAATAATGGGACGCCTTGTATTTGTGACCTGCTGGAGTACGTGGCTGTTGGTTTAAAAATTACCTTGCTGGAGCTCCACCCTTATTTCCCAATGCTGGCCATTCATGCTCAGCGCTTGGACTCAATTACATATTTTTTCCTTTTACTGTATTAGGATTTGGGGAAGTAGCTTTTGGAGTCTGGCTGTTTGTGGGAAAGGGTCAGTCTGTGAATAAAATGAAAAATGAAGGGAGCATGGTATTTTTTAGCAGGCTTTGTTGAGGAATTTGGGCTGCAGAGCTTCTTGGCACTGTTCTTCAGGGACAGAGATAGTGCCTGTGTGGAAAACTATGTAGGTAGTGATGAACATTTGTTGAGGGATGACTTTACTGTCTTGTTTATGAGGATCTGGGGACTGAAATAATTTTGAATTGCTTATATTGGAATGCAAGTGTGTGAGCAGCTGGTTCTTTCCCATCATCTGCCAGCTTTACCATGATTTTCCACAGGCTAGGTTTCCCTTGAAGTTCTTCTGGTAGGCACTGATTAAATAAAACGCTGGGGGCAGGAGCTATGTGTGGTTTGGAGGGGTTATTTTGTTGTTGTGAACTACCTTAATTCTGTTGCTGGACCTTTCTTGTGTCAAAGCAAGTGAGGTTAGTTGGGAAAGTTTTGGTTTTGATCTTGACATTTTTACTAAGTGTGAGGCAGGTTTTTTTAGTTCAGAAATCCTGGCCATCAAGCTTTTCAGCAGTTTCCACTGGATTTGCATTGCAGAGTCTCTTTTTGTTCAGGTTCATTGTTTCTTGTATAGCTTTTCCTGTAATTCTTACCATCTTTTATTAAGGATTGAAGTAAGTGTGAGATTCTAGTTCTTAGGAAATTTATAATACTTTGTTTTTTTCTCTCTCTCCTTGTCTGGGGGACAGGCTTTTCGAGAGGGCTCACGAAAGTCTTTGAGGATGAAGGTGAGTAGAAATGACAACCCTCTGTGTTGGTGGTGGGGCTTTTCCCCCTTTATTTTTTCCCTCTTTTGGTTTCCCTGGGAAATTTCTGATTGTGGGGCCAGCCTTGTAATAACTCAAACCTTACAGTGCACCACAAGGAGGCCTATTCAAAAGGCTATCACAGGAATTGCCCCTTGAACCTTCCATTTGCTTCTGATAGCTTCCAGTCAGATAATGCAATCCAGTTCTGAGAGGTGATTGATTCATGGCACTTGGGAGTGGGGTGTTTGATGTAAGGGATGTAGAACTGGTTGTGGCTGCTCTTCTGTGAGGGCAGTTATTGTTTGATTGCATCAAAGCTATTTCAAGCTTGGACATCAAAGTAGTTCACAAGTTTAATATTGGGAGTCCCTAGGAGTGCTGCCTTGTTTGTCTCCACATCCTCTTACTAGGAATGGATGGGACAATATATTTATCTCTGACTTCCTCCAGTAGTGGTAGGTGTGGCCATTGAATAGGAAGGTTATTTGACAAAAAAAGTAGACTTGAACTGTAAGCTGCATTTATTTCTAGACACAAGAGGTGCCTTAAGGTTTGCTCAGTTCCACCTGACCCCAGCCCTGCAGGTGGCTGAGAGAAAAGAGGAGAATACTGTGGTGTCCCTATGCACCATCTCCATAGCATGCAAGTGACTTGAGAGGGTAAAAATGCATGGCAACTCTTACTATGTTTTTAATATATATTATTAAAATAATGATTGCTCTTCACTTGTCCTTGTTACTAAGACCTCAGTGTCATATGTGTCTCAGTGCTTTATGAAGCCAGTTGAGTTGCTGAGCTCTGGAGTACTTACTTCAACTACTGCCAAGTAAAGAATGAAGCTTAAGTCTTTTTCTTTCTACCAGCTTCTGTTTTCCCCTCCTTTACAAGACAGTCTAAACGGATTACCTGATTTTGCCCTCTCTTCTTTACTCTGCTTAGGACTTGCAGTTTTAACCCTGTGGGTATTAGCTTATGCTCTGCATTCAGTTTCTTGAAACTCTGGTGACCATTTAGCTAGAAGGTTCAGGACTATTTTTGGATCAGTCACTGCAAAGATTGAGATGCAGTCAGCATCATTGAGCATTGTGCTAGCCATGAGTGGGTTGACTGCAGGACAAGCCTACATGAAATTTATTTGCCTTTGTGTGTTCTGTGCCTTTGCTTTTTTAATGTACTTAATTATTTTTCCAAAGTGGCTTAGATTTTTTTTTCTGGCCATATGCTAGCCTAATTTTATTTTATTAGCGCCAAGTACCAACTTTCAAGAGGTCTTAGTTCTGCACAGAAATCTCAGTAGATTTCTGAGTGACACTGTTGTACAATGTTCTGGAGGGTGCAGATGCTGAAAAATGTGTCCTCATAACCAACACTTACATAGCTTGGCACTGATTTGCCTTCTTTTGTAGCTTATTCATGTGCTCGGAGCACTGTGGATAGGTTTTCCTGCTGTGTACCATCCATTCATTCTTTGCTGTTTGGTGCAGAATTCCCCTTCTGAAGCACATGCCTTGGATGAAAACACAGCTGAAGGGTGGGAGAATCGGATCCGCCTGTGGACGGACCAGTACGAGGAGGCCTTCACCAACCAGTACAGTGCTGATGTGCAGAACCTGCTGGAGCGACACCTCAGCTCCAATAAAGACTATGTGGGCAAAACTGCTATGCTGGACACAATCAACAAAACTGAGCTGGCCTGCAATAATACTGTTATTGGGTCCCAGATGCAGGTAAGAACAAGCAGGACAGCGGGGGAGTAGGTCAGGGCATGGTGAGCGGTATTGTAGCTCAGGCCAACAGACAGAGATTTGATACACAGTGAATCAGAAGTCATGCCAATCAGAGAGAGATTAACAAATATTTGCATTAAACTAAATTAGTGATGCAAAGTTGGGGATATTTTGCACATTTCTGTAATGTGGTTAACAGGTATTTTGCCATAAATACTTTGGTCACTGAATGGCCTGAGACAAAACCAGATCTGTCACTTGCTGGAGATAGGAAATTTCCTGCTTTCCACCTGAGTTTTCCAGTCCCCTTTATTCATTTTTTAATTTTATTTCTGGACTCATGTTGTGTGGAAGGCTATTTTAAAGAACCTTTCAGCATTATTTCAGTATTTTGGATTATTTGGACTCTTGTAACTTCCAAATACTGCACAACTACAGCTGACTTCAGGAAGCTGGTCTCTCCCTAACTAACTTGCCAACCATGAGCAGTGGTTGGTGTCTTGCCATCTTTATGGAGTGCATGTAAACAAGCAGAAACAGGAAAACAATGTGTTTGTGTGGTGTATGTCTTCCCCATTCATACTCTTGTTAGCTGTTGTTCCATCTTATCTGTGCTTTACTGAACAAAGTACAGCCTTCCTACCCAGTTTAGGCTTTCCTGGGCCTTCTTTGTCCAGGAGAATGGAGATAGGTGCATCTGAAAGGGTGGGCTCCAGTAGAGAAGTGGGGCATTTCTTCTGTGTAAAGGGAACAAAGTCAGAAACCTGAATATCAGGTATATGTTTGTGCTTGAATCTTTCTTGTTTATATCAGCTGACTCAGTGAAGTTCATGTGCTCCCTCCTTCCTTTCCTTCTGCCTTCATACAGGTGAACCACTTCAGGCAGAGCACAGATAGTGCCAGTAAGGGAGAGTGCAGAAAGAGGACTTTGGACCAAACTTTCTTCCATTCTTGCCTCTGGTTCTGCAATAAATAAGATTTCTTGTGGGGGGGGAGAAACATTTCTTTATAGCCTTTCTGTAGAAAGCAGGAAATGCAGATAAGAAAAAGTTCTACTTCTCTAGAAATCGTAATATTTTTTGAGACTAAATGTAAGTAATTCTGTCTGCCTCACATGAGTTTTAGGAGAAGTCCTGAAATAAGTAATAAAACACATGCTGTGTTTGTTGATATGTGTGCAGCACGACACAAGACTATAAAATATACCATACATAATGTGCTTGTTCTTGCCATGCTCTTTCAGCCTCTCCCTTCCCAGTACAGGCTTAGGTTTTCCCATAGGAAAATGTGGCCAGTATTCCAAATCAGAAGACTCCAAATGTGATACATGCCAAAGAAACAAAAAAATTGAAACTTGCAAAACTTGTTAGTGAGCTGTAGTTACTGTAAACAAGCTGTTGGCAGGTACTTGTCATTGCACATGCTGGGAAGGTGTCAGAGGACTTTGTAGTTTCTGTTGGACACTGAGAAAAAGCCAGGTGCCTGTCCTGGGTTGCTGCTTGTCACTCCTGTGTCCTGCTGTCTCTGCTCAGGAGGTGGCTGTGGAGTGTTGTGAGGAGGGCACCTGCACAGGTGTGGAGCACGTGCTCTCATGCACTGTGTTCTATTTTTGTTTCACTCATCTCACCTTTGGTAGGCAAACTGAGAAGGCTTCTTGGTTTGCATCAGTTGTCTATTAACTAGGTATCATTATTGAACACAAAAATAGCTTTTCTGTGAGATAAGGGAATATAGGTACTTTGAGCTAGAAAAAAATCAGGAGGCTGTGCAAATATACATTTGCCAGCTGTGTAGAAATATTGTTGCTGCTCTCTTTGGCCATGAAGACTCTGGAGAGAGGAGAAAAGAACAAAAATAATGTTTTATTATGCCCTGCATACTCTTAGTAGTTCACAGAGTCATTTGACTTTGGTCAACAGTGATGCAAGGATATACTTGAAAGAGATTGAGATGTGACCTGAAAGCTTCCTCAAACCAGGAAGAGTAGGGAAAGATGAGTTAAGAGTTATACATGGAGGATATGGGATTGTGTTCATTGGAATATTTTGTGTAAGACAAGAGGAAATGGTCTCAAGTTGCACCAGCAGAGGTTTACATTAGATATTAGGATTATTTTTTGTTACCAGAAGGTTTACCAAACTGGAATAGCTGCCTGGGGGTGTGGTGGAGTCAGTATTCCTGGAGATATTTAAAAGACTTGTGGATGTGGCACTGTGGGATATGGGTTAGGAAAGGAGTGGTTAACAGTTGAACTCGGTCTTAGAGGGCTTTTCCTAAATTACTCTGTGATTTTATGATAAACCAGTTTTCAGCTGTCGTCATGATGCAAGGGGAAAGTTGTGAAAATATGAAGCTGTTTAGTGTTATGAATAAAATCATCTTAGTCCTGGCTACTGCCAGTTGCTGGACAAACTGAAAGCTGTGAATCACTTTCCTGACTGTTGTTGCCAAGCCAAACCCTGGGTTAGTATTTGCCCTTTGCTGCCTCTGATAATTGCTGACTTGAGCTCAAACCCCTGACTGATTTCACATTCTGAAGTGAAGAGCAAAAGGGCCTTTATAAAATAAAGCCACTGAGTATTATGCAGATGTTGCTCTGCAAACATATCAGAACAGTTTTGGCTGATTAGCAGTCAGCAGTCCCTAGCCTGTGACATGAATAAAATCATTTGTTCTTTTCACACATGAAAGCATGGCAGCTAATCCACTTCATATTTCTAAATTCAGAAAATGAAAACAAGCTGAGCTGTGTCTTACCAGAAGAGCTGTGAGATCATTCCTCTTTCACCAAACTCAGATAAATAAGTTACACAGATGCAGAGTTTCTCTTTCCTGCATGGACTTTCTCCTCCTTTGACCACCCCAGCTTATCCCACCTGTATTCCCCAAGTCAGTCATGGGACAAAGGTGAGAGTGAAAGCTACCAGACATTAACTTCTGAAAGATATTATCTTTTTATGCTCTCAGAGTAGTAGAACAGTTTAGGTTGGGAGGAACCACTGAAGGTCATCTGGTCCAACCCTCCTGTGTAGGGCCAGCTTAGGTGAGAAGGTACAAAAACAAATCAGTGATAGTATAGAAACAGAATTATTCAACTGGAAACACACTGGGTCCTAATTCATCTAGTACCTTCAGATACTTCTTATCTCCTGTCCTACACTAGGAAATCTGGTCCCATTTATTTATTTGTTGCCATAGTTGAATAGTACAGAGTGCTAAAAGTAATTTAGCCACTACTCCATGTAGTGTAAACAGTCTCATCCTACAGCTCACTCATATCATGGGTTTGTTGATCAGAAATCAGGACCAACAGTGCAGCTTCTTAGACTGGAAATAGCATGTTTCTGTGGACTTGGGGAATCCTCTGTGAGCTTCTGTCAGGACCAAGACCTGAAGAGATGAACACCCTGCAAGGCTCTTCAGAGTCTCCAGTACATATATCCAGGTTTTCCCAGTTGCTGGCAGACAGAGTGGTATGACAGATAAACCCCATGACAAATGTGGCACTGGATTGTATCTCAAGAGGAGCTCTGGACCATTACTCCCATCTGAATAGGTTTCAAGTGAATATTTTTATAAAGCTGTCTTTGTCCTGGATCTGAGTGAGAGAAGTCAACAAATATATGTTACTTTACTAGCTCATCCAAGATCTACAATATAATGTTTTATAGAAACAACAAAAGTCATTTTCTTGAGGGGGTTTTAAACAGAGGAGATAGATAGAAGATCCCAGTCAGAAAAAAGGGTTTAAAAGACCTGTGGTTCAATATTTTCATGTGCTCAGTACAAGGGTTTTGCTGGGTTCCCAGTGCTGAGTGCTGCCTGAAGACATTAACTTTTATTTTCACAAGGTTAGAACATCATGTGTTCTATCATTATTCAGGCTGAGCCCCTTAAACTAATTTTTATCCATTTCAGCAGAGTGCTCAGTAGCTGTTTCTAATAAAGGTTCTCTCAGGAAAAGTTGAGAATGTGCTTTCAGTAAAATTTTGTGGTTTACTCCTAATTTAGATACATAATTGTCATTATTACTGAAGTCAGAACACTTATGCTTCAGTTCACTTTAGAAAAGTATCAAAAGTGGGCCCTTATGAGCAGGGAATAGAATGCTTAGGAAGGAACAGGCACAGCAGTGGTGGTGAGGCAGCCAGTCTTCTTCACATAATCTTCACTTACACAGAGGTTTCATCTGTTAAGTAAGAGAAGTACTTTGTTTTTATGGAATAAGTCTTTCCTATACCCTAGTGCTTATAATATCCCTTCCATTATTCCATAAAATATGTCATGTTTCGATGTCTGTACTTAAAGAATGTTGTGGTTTCTTGGTGTCAGGACACATTGTTATGAAAATCAATTGTAGTAGAGCTGAAGACTTTAACGAACTGTCGCTACTTCATTAAAAATTTTGTTCGTCATGTTTAAAAAAAAAACTTAAATCAACAGCACTAGCTGAGAAGAGATAAGTAGAGAAGTTTCTGGATGGAGATGGAAATTGCCAGCTTAAGTCTTTGGCCTGTTTGCTGGAATTTACCATCCTCTGCAGAAGGAAAAGCTTGCGTTTTTTTCCTCTGAATGTGTGACAACCCACAATTTAGGGAAGATCTCAGTTATTCTGGCTGTGAAAGTGGCCATAATTGCAAAGCAATTCCCAGTTAGTATCAAGTGACAGGTCTGGTTATGCTTCCTAGATGCAAGACTGAAATACTCGGTCTAATAGATTTGTCAGACTATTGTTGAAGGAAAGGAGTAAATACCGTTTGCTTTTGATAAATATTATCAAAGTTTTTGGTCATTACTAAATTATTATAAAATAAACAACATATTCACCTGGCAGAGTTTCTGTGTGTTGCTATTAGAATATATTTTCTTTTTATATAGGTAAAATATTCTTCATGAGTTAGAGGCCTTTGGTTCAAATGTTCCTCTTTTGCTCTGGTTTTTGTTACAGCTGCAGCTGGGAAGGGTGACTCGGGTTCAGAAGCACCGGAAGATCCTGAGGGCAGCGAGAGACTTGGCACTAGATACCCTCATAATTGAGTATCGAGGGAAAGTTATGTTACGGCAGCAATTCGAGGTCAATGGGCATTTCTTCAAAAAGTAAGAGTACTATGAAATGATGGGTATGAGAGCATCGTGGCACAGAGAGACTGGTGTCTCTTTGGGATAGTGCTCACTTAGAGGGTCCTGTCAGCTGTGCCTTCCATAGAAGTGGGAAATCAGATATATCACCTCAGCTTGATGCTCTGCTTATGGGCCAAACCCTCTGAAACAGATCTTTTAAATAATTGGAAGTACCTAACCCCAGAGCAGTAGTGCTGATGGAAGTTCTGCTTCCAGTGAAGTGAGGGACCTGTTAACAACAGTGCTTTGGGAATTGGGTATTTTGGGACTGAGATGTTCTGTTGCTTCTGCAGGCCATATCCCTTTGTGCTGTTCTACTCCAAGTTCAATGGCGTTGAGATGTGTGTTGATGCCCGCACCTTTGGTAATGATGCCAGGTTCATCAGGCGGTCCTGCACTCCAAATGCAGAGGTAAATTCTCTTTTCATCATCACTGTTACTGCAAATACATGTTTTACATAAGCTTAGTGCTTTCCCTAACTTAAAATGCACTAAGTACAGTAAATTCTCTGTGTCACTTGCTTGTTTGATGGTTTATACTTGGAATATGAGACAGTTTGGGAACATGAGGGAGGTTTTTTTGGAAGAGAAAGATTTCTCTTAAGTCTTTCCTTTGGCTGCACAATGATACTGAGGGTAAGCAGGTGGTAGTAGTTGTAAGTGGAAAAGCACAGTATGAGACAAGAGCAGTGAAGCAGGCTTTTCCCTATGGAGAATTTGGGATAATTACTCATAGAGTAGAATAAGAGCTACTTTGCAAAAGGAGACTTCCGTCTTGGAGGTAGGAAATGCAACCTGTGGAGACATCAGCTTCTTTCTACTTCGTTTAACAAGGTTCGTCATGTGATTGCTGATGGGATGATCCACCTGTGCATCTATGCTGTTGCCACCATTGCCAAGGACACAGAGGTTACCATCGCCTTTGACTATGAGTACAACATCTGGTGAGTCCTTCACCTCGCCCAGGAGCTCTCCACTGCCCTCCTGGACTGGACATCTTCCTCCAGCCCTTTCCTCGCATTCTACATATTGCTCCGTTTTCTACTGAATTGCATTTCCCGGCTATTCTGTCCAGTTCTGCTGGCATATTCTCCAATAGAGGCCATAAGGTAGCCTGCTGTCCTTGCTTTGGCACGTGGTGAGATGTTTAGTAGGAGATGTATTGAATGTCTCTGTGCAGGGTTGAGAAATGAAGAGTGACACAAATTATGTTTGTGTTTTGGAGCAGCAATTATAAAGTGGACTGTGCGTGTCACAAGGGGAACCGGAATTGCCCTGTGCAGAAACGTAGCCCAAATGCTGCAGAACACCTACCTCCACCTGTTTTAGGCACACTCATTGGGGCAGAAACACGCCGGCGAAAGGCCCGACGAAAGGAGCTGGAAATGGAGCAGCAGAGCCTTGCGTCGGATGAGAACGGCACTCAGCAAACTGAGGAGGTTCCTGAGGGACCTGCAGCAGTCAGTGACAATGAGGTAAAATCTTTGCCCCCTTGTTATATATGTTAGCATTCAGTGCTGCAGGAGTCTGATCCAATAGCATTGGAATCTTCAGAACAGAAACTGCAGGAAGTGTTTTTTTTAAACCTTTAGCGCCTTAAATTACCATAGAAATTTTGGTAACTTTGGAACAGTACTGGGTTACTTAATCTGGGTTTCTATCTCAGGTGCCAGAGAAGGAGGAGAAACAAGAAGGGGAGAAAGAGGAGCCTGTAGATGAACATGGAGCCTCGGTCCACAGCAGACGGGCAAGTAGCTCTCTCTGTCTGGGTATCACCCTCTTTAGGACTTACTTCATGCAGTGACCAGCAGGTCCAGGTGGATATTTCACTTGTTTGAACACAAATCCCATCTGTTAGCGATCTTCAGTAATTTGATTAGCAGCAGCAAAAGAAAAAAAAGGGGGAGTAAAAAACCACTGAGGTTTGGTTGACTTCAAGTCACAGGATTTATGTTAGGGTGCTGCAGATTAGGAGATACACTATAGATTTGTTTCCTCGTTGAAAGGTTTAACTGTTACCTTCAGGGCTGTTCTATAGTCTAAAGCACACCTTTAGCAGAACCATCAGCACTAGGTTCCAAAAAGGCAGTTGGACCTTTTTTATGTTCCTGCTGCCCTTCCTTATTGCCAGCACAAGAATTTATGGCACTATATAGAACCATAGCATAGTTTGAGTTGGAAAGGACTATCAAAGGTCACTTAGTCCTGCCCCACCTCAGTGAGCAGGGATATCTTCAGTTCGATCCTACCATGAACCAGAACCTGATTTTTCTTAAAACTTGGTCATTTTTGCTGGGTTAGATTTGTAAACAGCTATCTGTTCAGTGTATGGTTTCATAAACATGTTGCCATGTGGGGAAAAGAGTGGGATCAAGTTGCAAAAGTCAGTCAGAGGAGTAGACCACCAACAGTAGTATTGGCACTTACTTAATATATTACTTACTTATATCTTAGTGCTCTGGGATCTTTGATAATACAGTCTTATTTTAGCCTTCATCTTTACTGAGTAGAGCTGGTGGTTTTTTTTCTTGTGTTGCTTATGGCTCCTGGGATTGCTGCCTGGATTAGAATGTTTTATGCATGTGAATGGAGTCATTCTGGCTCTTAATTTGTTAATTTAAATAAACAAGAGAAAAATTCAAACAAAAATGCAAATACACAAATAAAACAACCAACCAACCAGAAACCCAAGGAAGAAAAACAGAAAAATTGCTCCCATCCTTTTACCAGCCAACAAATATATTGAAGATAGGAATTCCCTGTTCTTCTTTGCTCACCAGTATCATAATCACCTGTCTTCCTCTAATCAGGAATATGAATCTGCCAAGTGTAAATTTCCTGAGAATGCTTTAAATGTTAAGATAGTGCAGCAACCTGGAGAGCCAAGGGCCATCCAGTGGAGAGATGCTTGGATTAACTGATGGATTTTTTTAGAACAGATGAGATAAAGCAGTCAGTTTCCACTGAAATTTGAATGAGAGCAGTCATCCATCAGATTGGCCTTAAAGCTTTGGAGGGAAGATTTCATTTTAATGCAGGGAGGCGGATCTCTTTTTGGGACAGAATAGTTCAGTAAGCCTAAGTGAAGTGTTAGTTTCCTGTCAGCCTGTAAGCCCTGTTCCTGTAGGTTGCACCAGTTAATCTGCTTTAATGCGATTCAGTTTTCTATACTTGGCATCAGGTAAATACCCATCTCTATAGTTTCCCCAGTCTCTCTCTTTGTGTGTGTGTAGTATTTTTTAATAGAAAACTGTAAAGGCCAGGCCATGGACTCCAAGATACTTCCTTCATGATAAATCTCAGAAGACAATTGATCCCACTTCTTTAAACACTCTTGATTCTTGCCAGTCACTGCAACGTTTTTGTACTGGGCTTTTTATATGCATAGGTACCAATTATTCCTGACACAGCCTGGTGATAAGATTTCCTGTCCTTTGTGTTTACCTAATAAATTGACTTGTTTTGCCTCTCTATTCTCTCATGTTCTGTTTTTCTTAGCCACTATGTAAGCTGCTTAGACCAGAGCTTTTATTTTTGAGCTGGGTCATCTTCTGACATTCTTGCTGGGAAAAGAATGAATCTGGAACATTTTAATCAGTTTGTGTGGTGTATTACACTTGCTGCAAATTACTTAATCATGTACATCTATTGCCCCTGGCTTCTGTTTGGTTGGTCATTGGCAAATAGCTGTATTTGTTTCCAAGTCATCTCTCCACTCTACTTATGCTTTCTTACCATTTTTAATTCTTCAAAATTATGCATATCCTTGTGGCTGTTTTGTTAATATAACTCAGTAGTATCTAAGTGGTCCTATTTAAGAACAAAGTCAAGTTCTTCTACTTGTGCTACAAACACATGATTATGTTGTTATTCTGGGAAATTTGCCATATTGAAAAATGCAAATAACTGATAAGAACTGCTTCTCTCTGTCCTCTGTCTGGCTTTTGTCATTGCTATTTGGCAGTTGTTCTCTTTGTGCTGCTTCCCATATCTGTTCTTGCCTTGTTTATGTGCGTAATTCACCATGCTTACTTCAATTTCCCTTGTGTTGTAGTCCCGGGAAGACAGGAAGGTGGAAGCCATCATGCACATGTTTGAGAACTTAGAAAAGAGAAAGAGGAGACGAGAGCAACCATCAGACCGGAACAGCACTGATGCTGAAATCAACGTCAGTTCTGAAGCTCCTGAGCTGGAAGAAGTGAAAACAGAGACTCCTGAAACTGAAGATGGAAGTTCAGCACCGAGTGCTCCTCCTGCTCCTCCGCCTCCTCCACCTCCTCCTCCTCCTCCTGCTCCTCCTGTTGCTAACAGTACCAGCAGTACTGGGGTGAACACACGACGCTCCTCACAAGTGGCGGTAAGATGAAGATAGCACTGTTTGCTGTCTTGTACAAGGCTCAGGTGCAGCATTTCTGATCATAAGGTCATTCAGGCGGGGAGGAGCTTTGTGGGCTTTCTGGCCCATTCTGAGTTAGGTAGGGACAGCTTTGAAGCTAGACCAGGCTGGTCAGTGTTTTACCCAGTCTTCTCTTGAAAACCTCCAGGGATGGAGATTGCACCTCTTCCAGTTCATGACTGTTAGGTTGAAAAAAATTTGCCGTGTATCCAGTCTGAACCTCTCATTTCAGTGTATGTCCATTGATGCACCACTGCATCTTCTTAGTGGCTTCAGGCTGTTTGTAGGAAGACTGCTGTTACATCCCCCTCAGTCCTCTCTGGGCTGAACAAGCCCAGCTCCTTCTCCAGGGAAGAGAACTGGTGTGAACTTAAGTTGGATGCGTAAGTGCAGTAATGAAAAGTTCTTTTCTTTTTGTTTGGGTTTTTTTTTGACCCAGTCTACTTTGGATGCATGTGTTCCCATTTTATGGCAGGGCTCAGACACTTGCCTGGAGTGCTCCATGTCAGCTCAGGTCAGGAATAAGAGCAGTTATCTCGAGACAAGCAGCAAGTTTCCTATTGCTGCTTTCTTCCTAAAGACCCATGTTCTGTCCTTTAAGAATGCAGAAGACAAAACGATAATGTGCCAGTGTTGAAGGGTCCCCAAGGCCATCTTATGAACCAACACAGAGTCCAACAAGATTTTGAGAGTCAGGTAGTGTCAATAAATAAATCTCAATTCTTGATCCTGTATGCAGAGAAAAGGAATACTCTTTGAGGGGCTCAGACTAAATGGCAGTTTATTTTGTAGGATGCTGTCCCTGAAAAAACAGTGGCTAAGCCAGCTCCAGCAAAACCCTCCAGGCCTCGACCAAAAAGTCGCTTCTCTCGATACCGGACCAGTTCAGCACAAAGACTGAGAAGGCAGAAACAAGCCAGTTCCCAGCAAGCTGAACTCACACAGGCTGTCCCAGAGGAAGGAAGCACTGCCAGCTTGGTAACCACAACAGATGTCAGCAATGTGGAAGGGCCAGGAGAAGGCAGACAGTTGACAGGATCTGACCCAACTGCTATCCTGGCTACAGGATCCCAGTCTAAAGCTGCAGTAAAATACCCCAAAACAAAAAAGGTAAAAATGATCAAGTGCTCAAAGTTGGGATGGCAGGATGGCAGGTATTCATTTAGGGTGCAGCAAAGAGGTTAACTTTCAGCTTAGAATTGAAGACCAAGAAGGAATGTGACTGCAGCTGTCATGTACAAGCTAGAATAAAGTTGGAAGGGAGGAAAAATTGCAGAAGGTAACAGGCAGCTGCCACATACTGGGCATAAATTAGCTGTTTGTGTTTAGAATCTAGTTTTGAACAGGGTGATCAAGTTTTTGGAGAATCTTCTAATAAGGTGAATGGGGCATGAAATCAAACTACTTCTGTGACATTTGTTGGAATCTATAAAATTAGAGGGTTTTGAGAAAGTTGTGAAAAAGACAGGCTCCCAAAGATAGTAAGGAAAGCTCTAGAGACTGATTGCAGATGTCCCATCCTGTTTGCAGTTGTATATAATCTGCCAACAGCAACATTGGGTTGTGTCTCCAACAGGTGAGAATTGGGTTTGACACAGGAAGTCCTTTCTGTTGAGAAGGAGGGGGGTTTTAGCAGTGGGCTGACCTGAGCATTGCTTCCCATACACCATTGTGCCATGTTGCCTTTCTTCTTCACCTGTGCTGATGGCACTGACCTGTGTGTTTCCTCCTTCAGTACCTGGTTACTGAATGGCTGAACGACAAGGCAGAAAAGCAGGAGTGTCCAATTGAGTGTCCTCTGCGCATTACTACAGACCCAACAGTTTTGGCAACCACCCTCAATATGTTGCCAGGTCTGGTGCACTCCCCACTGATTTGTACCACACCCAAACACTACATTCGCTTTGGTTCACCTTTCAACCCTGAGAGACGTCGAAGGCCCTTCCTGCTGGATGGCATTTACAGCTCCTGTAAGAAGGTATGTTTGCTCGTGTCTTACCTTTACACGGTGTGTGCTCATCTCACTGGCCCTCTTGTAAAGCTGTTGTGTCCTTTTGGAGTTTATTTCTGTGTATTCCCACTGACCTGATGTGTTGATGCAGTGTCCAGGCTATGACTGCTGACCTCCTTGCCAGAGTTCAGTTTTCATCCTTGCATTTTGCCGTGGTAGAACAACTGTTCTGTGACTGCCCTTTTAGAAACATGTACTTTCAGATCTGCAGTGGCTTTTTATTATCCAGCATACACAATTCAGAGTGTTGATTGCTTCCCTCAGAAAGTTTAATATTTCTACTTTCACAGTCAGAGGATGGTTGGCATTGTGGGGATAGGACAGTGTTGCAGAGGAGCTCCAGAATCCAGTGCCTCGGTTAAGATTCATTTTCTTCGGAGAGCCTTTGTGGTTTAAAGCTTTGAGTTTGCCTGTTCACAAGAACAAGCCCACAGCTCTTTGTTTGGCATCACAGACTGCCTATCTACAGCAGATTCTTGAACCAGGCCCAGCTAAGGATTTAGTTCCTCCAGAGATGACCAGTAAATGTCAGTATTTACTCATCTGCAGGGAAAGCAGGGTAGTTCACTCAGTCAGATTTGTATTGGAATCCATCTTTCCTGTTGCCTGCTGGTTTTGCTCAGAGACTTTCCAGTTCCTGTGTGATTACCTGAGGACATTTATACAGAAATCTTTTCTTCTCTCCCTGTCTTGGTGGCTTTCAGGTACCATGTCCTGGTTTCTTTGCCTTCCTTTGTTTGAGGGTATTTTTCCAGAGAGAATCTTTGGACTTTACTGTTTTCCACCTTCAGCCAGTTTGTTGTCATGTCCTAACAGTGTCTTCAGTATTTCCTTCATAGGTAAAGCTCTTCATGGTTCATATGTAGAGGTATGACAACACCTTGTCTGTTTCTGTGTGCCTGGGCAACCTCCTCATGCATCTTTAAGCTGAGAACTGCAAGGTTTGAGCTTCTTTTGAACCTTAACAGTGTCTTTGAGCCCCAGGGAAGAGAGAAATATCCAGCGCAAAGCTGACAGTTATTTGGAGTTCTGTGCTTGGTGCAGCTGCTGTACAACTGTCCAGCAAGCTCAAAATTGAGGGAAAACTATTGTCATGGAACAGGTCTTCCAATCTGTTGCTGCCTTCGACTGTTTTCTAGTCAAATGTTAATTCTCACATCTGGACAGGGAGTGGACTGGTCTCACTATTGATGACTTCTGTTTAGTCCACACCTTCTTTGAAGTTGTGTCCAAAACTGGGTGTTGTGTTGCAGCTGGGACATTTTCAAAACAGAAAAGTTGCTTTGTGTCTTCTCACCTGTACCCAGTTTGTGCATCCCAGTATGACTGAGTTTTCTTTGGCAGATTGATTTAAACTCATGTTCAGTTTGTGATTTTGTATGTTGTTAGAACAACTCATTGGTTTGGTAGCCTGTAATTGTAGAAGTGATTGTTCTAGACTCTGCTAAGCTGTGTCATGGTTTTCCCTATCCATTTCCCAATTTAGTAGAGAAATTATTAATGGTGTCATCCAGCATTCTTGTTTCATAATCTGAAAACTTAAATATAGTACCTATTCAATTAAATAGTTATTAAAGCATTGAAAGTTGCTGTGTCCAGAACAGATGTTGCAGAAATAATTTGTTAGATTGCTACTTTTTGAATGTAAATAATTGTTAGCTATTCTAGTGAGAGGTATCATCCATTTCATAGGCGATCCCTGGCTTTTTCTTGGAAGATTATTTTTAGTATTTGGTGGTTTTATGATTTAATGGTCTGGAGATCTAGAAATCTGCTTCTTATGTTCAGGAATGCTTAGAAAACTCTCAGGGAACACCTTCTTTTCAGCCAGCTGAGGTCTAGAAATGGCCCAGAACTTGATGATTTGCTCTCTCAAGACCTGATCTGTGTCTTGTCTACTTTTGACTACTCAGCCAAGGAGGTTGATTTATTAAGGCTGTTGAAATAGATCACATATTTTCTTGGATTGTCAGCAGGCCTCATCCTTAAACTACTGAGAACTGTGCCAAAAAACCCAGCTGATGATGTCAGTTTGCATCCAAAGCATGGCAGTGTCTGAACCTCGCAAGGAAACTGAACTGTAAGCTGCTCTCACGTAACTCACACCCTGTGCAGTGACTTGGCTGGCAGATCAGATGCCACCTTTGAGGTAGAGGTGCTCCAGACTGGCTGCCACTTCTCCCTTTTGCTGGCGGCCACAGTGGAAAGCCTTGAGCTCCATTTGACCAGAGAAGAAGTGTCTGCTGTACGGTAGTGAAGGCCATCAGAATAGATCCTGTCACCTGCTCTTCATCCTCGCTTTGAAGTTTTCACTTTGAGGATTGTGGCCACTGAGTGTGTGATGTACTTTCACCATAGCTTTGAGGAGTCATAAGACACATGTGTATCTCTAATAGGATACACATTGCTGGCATGCAGATGAACTGTGGATTCCTGAAAGGTAAAAGTACAATTTTAAACCTCTCTAGGACAAGAGGAGTCTGGATACAGTGATCCCCCTGGCTAAACTACACAAATGAAAATTGCTGTTTGATTTTATTCTGCAGTTTGCTGTCATTTCACTGGATCACCTGAGTGTTTTCCCCTATGTTGTGGCAGATACCTTTACAGTAGAATAAGCAAAGATTCCTGCCTGCCATCAGGAGTCAGTTTGTATCAAGATACAGGGCTACCATACCCACTGCAGCAGCTGATTTGCTGAGGCTTCAGTTCATGTTCATTTGTGTGAGAAACATTCTTAATTGTCCATGTTCAGAAGACTGCTGTGACTTACCTTTTTTATTAGTAGCTGAAGAAACTATTTGCTTTTATCATTCTTTTCTTGGTTTACGCTCCTTGAAAACTGCTGCTTGCATTTTAGTCAGATTTTTTTTTTGCTCAAATTTGCTCTCCTTGGCAGGAAAGAGCTTTTTTGCAAAAATCAGTGGTTGTACATAGTTCATTATATTTGTGTCCCTTTTCTTTTAAATGACTATTGTTTTAATAGATTTAGGTGCCACCATCCAGCATTTTTATATTTATAATTTGCTCTTTAGTTATCTCTGTTACTGGTGCTGATTGCTGCTCGCAGAGCCCGTGTCAGGAGGGGCACAGCCCCAGCACAGCAGTGGTGGGCTCAGTGCTCCCACCCAGGCACACACCAGCGAGGTACTCCAGGCTTGTGAGCAGCCTGCCCTGCTCCACTGCAGTGTGGGAGTTCAGTGCATCCTGCAGGACTGCAGAGAAAGCACCCGAGGAGTTTCACGTTTATGCAGTCTCGTTCTGTTTCAGCGCTGGATCAAGCAGGCCCTGGAAGAGGGGATGACTCAGAGCTCAGCAGCTCCGCAAGAGAACAGGACCCAGTGTCTATACCAAAGCAATGACAACAGCAGCTCCTCCAGCATCTGCAAGGATGACACAGGTGAGTGCTCAGCACCATCAGGGCAGCATGGGCACTGCAGTCAGACTGGGGAAGGTGCTGAGCACCAAAGGGAGCTGTACAAGGGACATTTAACGTGGCCTGCGGCCCAATGGCACAGCTTATGGGTAGGTGAGAATGTTGCTTTGCTGTTCATTCAAATTTCTGCAGATTCATTCTAACTTGAGCATTTGTGAAGTTTCTCAGTATTTTCTTGTCAAAAGATAATCACTTAACATTGCATTATCAATCTCAGTGCTCTGGGATGTCTTCAACAATGGAAGGGAGGGGTTAGAGGGAAGAGAGCCCAGGATCATCTCTTTTCAGCAAGGTGCTGTTAGGTCAGCTAAATACTTGCTGACTGTGGGAAGGTGTAGCAAAGTCTTACAGGCATGTGTGCAATAAACAAATTGCTAAGTAAGTCTCAAGGATGAAGAAGTTAAAATCTCTGAGTAAAGCAACAGAATGGTTAAATATTGTGTCTGAATTTACAGAGAAAGAGAGTGCAGCTCAGCCCAGTCAGGGATCAGTTTTCCAAGGATGACAGACAGGAAGCTACACATCACACAAATAATACAAATTTGATTATTGAAAGGTGAGATGAATAGGAAATAAACAGAATGCCAGAACCAATAAATGTACCTCTCAAGCAAGACCTACCCTGTGGAATTTACTGGTGATTTGGTTTTGGTTTTTTTTTTAAACTAAGCATCAAAAAATATTATTATTTTGAAGAGAGGTAGGCCTGAGGCAAAGGCTTTAATCCTTAGTGGAAGTGGAAATGTGCTTGGGCTGTATTGATATAGCATATAGAGAACTGTTAGGTTCAGGTAATGAAAACTGAGCTGTCTCTGATTTGTTTGTAAGAATCACAATATGTCCTGTGACCTCTCTCCTCTATTCTCTCCTCTTTTTAACCTTTCATGTCTTCATTTCCCCTAGCTCCCTCTTGTGCTTGCTTCTAGTTGAAATATTTGCTTTCCTTGTTCAGTGCATGTTCCTGATGATGTATTGTTCTGTTACCAGTCTCTAGACATGGAATAGAAGTAACTCAGAGGTACTTCATTTCTGGGAGTCTTTTGTAGTTGCATTGAAGACTTCATTTGGGCTGGGAGTAGGGGGATGTGCTCATGTTCAGTGGGTCAGCCGTGTCCTCAGCTCAGTTTGTGTTTCAGACTTGCTGAGTCCCCTGAAGAAATGGAAGTCTCGCTACTTGATGGAGCAGAACGTGAAGAAGCTGCTGCGGCCGCTGTCCCCTGTCACGCCCCCGCCTCCCGTCCCTCCGGTGCCTCCGGGGCCCGGCACAGCGAGCCCTCAGCTGGCCACGCCCTGCTCGTCGCTGCCCGGCGAGGAGGAGACTCGCAATGGCTACGGCGTCATGTTCTCCCCCATCCCCTCTCTGGCTGCCAGCCGCTGCAATACTCCACTACAGTTTGAGGTAAATCCGCCCGGGACTGGGGGTGCCAAAACAAACCAGCAATATCTGCAGCAGAGCTGGCACTAGGAGCTTCCTTTTTGAGTGTGTGTTCCTGAGCAGCATCACAGTCTCACTTCAAGAGCACCGCTGCCTTCCTCTTCTACTTCATTTCTGGACAGATCTCCTGCTCTGTGAAATGTCAAACTTTGCTACAGCCCAGCCTCCCCTCACTCTGTAGCTATCAGTAACATTAGTCTTATCTTTTTTTTTTTTCTATTTCTGCAGAGTAGCTCCTAATTTCTCAGGTTTTTCAGTGACCTTTAATCATCTCCCCCACTTCAGATCTCTTTGCCAATGGAGTTTTCACCCTGCCACTTCCAAAGAGTACAAGTATTCCATTTCTCAGAGGCTGTAAAGCATCCTTGGTTCCTCTTTCCTCAAACAGCTTTCAGTAACCCAGAGTATGGTAGTGTTACTTCACATCGTCTTCCACTATATTCTTTGGTTTTACTGACTGAGATTTTTCAGACTCAATTTTGTGATGTTTTTAGAGTGGAACCAATTTAGAGAATGCTTGTCCCCTCCATATTCATAAGAGTGGCCAAAAGCATGATGCTTCTGCTTTTTTTGTGGAGTTTGTCAGAACTTTTTGTTAAGAAATTTCTGAGATTCCTCAGTTTTCTGCTTTGCAGACAACAGTGACTCCTGCTATATTTCTCTGATAGCAGCACAGCTCTGGGAATCCTGCCTCTCTGATTCTATTTTAGGCCTGTTCAGTAGCATGGAAAGGGAAGTGCTTGGGAAGAGCCCTTAACAGTGCTGTCTCATGCATACACTGCCTTCAGTGATACAGGTGCCCAGATAATACAACATTTCATAAAGCTGGCTGCTCACACCTCTTCTCTTGACTTGAGCTGAAAGGTGGCCCACAGTGGATTGAAAGAGACATGTTTGTTTTATAGTATATGTCTATGAAAGGTCATCTTAGTCTTTGGGGGATCTTAGTTTACTTTCTGGGCTAAACCAGGCTTTTCTTCTCTCCCATATTCTCATACTGAAAACCATAAGAGTCTTTCTCTATACTTCATGGTGCAAAGTCTATCTGACAGCACCAGAAATATAGAGGTAGCTGCTGCTTTTCTTAACATTCATGTGCTCTGGTTTGGGTGCTGAGTTGCATCATGAGATGCAGTAACCCAGCCCTGTCTGTGCTTCCAGGAAGCTTTAGCAACTACTTAGCCAGCCATGATTCTGTCCAGGCTGGGGCCAGTTGTTTAGAATAGCCATTGCTAACCTGTGTGCTTTTGTACATTGTAATTGCCTCCTGACTTTTGAAGTAGATGAATAACTAGATGCTTTTCCCTCCTCTAGAACGTGTCCTCCCCCGAGAGCTCCCCTGCGCATAGGCCCGAGTCCATGTCACCTGAGGTAGTTCTGGGAGCCTGCTGGGAGGGGAGGGAGGAGTGTGCAGGCACTGGGAATAAGGGTGGAGCTTTAGTCACAGTAAGGCTGAGGAGGGTTTTCAGGGTTATCACAACAAAACAAACAAATTGAAGACAGGAATTCAATTCATTTGTTGACCCTGGTGGGAATCAGACGGTGCAAAGACTCAGTGTGTCTCAGCTTCTGAGGTGCAGGCAAGAGATTTGGGGATCCTGGAATTGCCATCACCAATTTCAGACTCAGCCCAGCCCATGAGTGGTCTGTGAAATTTTTTGAGTAGTGGCCAAATGACTGCTGGGGAAGGGAAAGCATTCACCACTATTTTTGACTTACAAGCACACAGTGGTACACACCTGACCTGTTCTCTTCAGCCTTGACTTACCACCTACTCACTTGCAGACTGAAATCATTGAGGAGATGGTAAAATGTAGTATTTTGCTTAGCCTGACCTGTTGTGAAAGATGAGATGAACTGCCTTGCTCAGTGACTGTTTTGTAGTAGAAAATTCGTGCTCATCTCCAAGGTGGTGGATTACTGGGAGCTGTAATACAGCAGGGAGATGTTCTCAGCAACAGCAGGAGGGCAGAGCTGGTGCCTGGTGCTGCTGTGTTTTTCTCTCTGCACTGTAGTCCTGCAAAGAGGATGAAATCTTGTCAGTTGTACTCATTGTTTGAGATCCTGACATATTAATGTGGTGAAGGAGATGATTATTCTGCTGCCCTGGAGGGTTTTTGGCACTTTAAGTAGATAAATGAATATACTGTTGTGTTATTGCCTAGTGCTCCACAAACTCTGACAGCACAAAGATGATGCCATTGTGGTTTTGTTGGAAACTGTGAAACGTAAAAATGCAGTAAAAATTAAATGAATGTACTATTGTTAGAGATTTCCAAAGTTCACAATAAGTGAAAACAAATGGCTTAGAGGTCCTGGATATTTTATTGTTAGGAAGTTAGTAGTGGCTGACTTGGGACAGGCAAGGACTTGGCTAATAAAATAGCAGAAGGACATCAGGTCTGTTCTGTTCTCTCCTGGCTACTGCTCTGTATGAGGCAGTTGAAAATGCTGAGTTTAATTCATTAACTGCCTGGGGATAGTGTTGAGCTTTATCCTGTTGCTGCAGAGAGACTGCTGAAGGGGAGGGGGCATCCTGTATTGGACAGCTGAACTGATCATTGTTTAGTGTCAGTCATTCCCCTGTGGAATGAGTACAGCAGTGCAGGAAAGAACCAAAGGGGTATTTAGAAAGGAACAGGGAAAAGGGAAGCTAGCATTGTACAGAAGGTTTTCTGACTTAAATTTCTCTCCCTACCCTTGCCTGACCTTTTTCCTGACTGCCCACCCCCCTTCTGTATCCTTCTCGGATTTCCCAGGTCTGCCTCCGATCCGAGCTGGATTCCAAGGGTGCCCACCTGGATTCCAGTGCAAACACCTGCCAGGAACGGCCGTCGCTGCTCAGCTTTGCATCCTCTGACGTGGCTCCACAATCCTCCATAAACTCTACTTCAGAGATGAACTTCCCAGGGAAAAGTGGGGAAGCACAGATGCTGCTACGAAGCTCTGATCAGGCTTTTCGGACAGAGTTTAATTTAATGTATGCCTTCTCCCCACTGAACGCTATGCCCCGCGTGGAGGGGCCGCTGCGGGGCTCTCCTCCTCTGGCAGACAGGAAGCCCTTGAATTCGGATGCAGGGTGCTGCAGCTCTCCTGCAGAAGGGTATTTCAGCAGACACGAGTCAGGGCTGCTCAAAGAGACAGCACATGGGTCCATGTCCCCCTGCAGCGAGAGGGCTGCTGAAGGCACCAGAGCTGCTCCCCAGAATCCACCACAAAGGAAGAAGGCAAGTACTCCTGTAAAAGAAATCCTTACATTGCCGTGGGGTTTACTGTTCCCACTCAGATTACTGCAAAGACAGGCAGAACAGGGAGTCTGGGCAAGTTATCCAGGCATCCAATGCCTGGGTGAAAACAGTTACAAGAGGGAGAGCTACCCTTAAGGCAAGATTTTGATATGAGAAGTGGAAAAAAAGACACCACGGTGCAAATACCTCTTCTGGGATCACAGAAAAAAGAGCAGGATGCTGGCAGCTTTCATTAACAGTTGTTAAACTGAGACAAGACCCAAAGCAATAACACAGTGCAGCTGTACAGCTGGTGAAGGTGTTATTTGTCAGGATGAAAAGGGTTCTTGCTGGGAAAGAGAGTCTAATGTTTCAAAAGAAAACATGGGCTGTTTACTAGAACATATTAGAACATTTCCATAACATTGCAACCAAAGTAAGATGAAGGTTATTTAAATTTTAGCTCTTTGAAACTAAAACCACAGGAATATAGTTTAACAAAACCAAATACATACTGGTTTCTTACAGCAGCCCAGTGACTCTCATGGGACTAAAACTGAGGTAAAATGTTAAGTCAAGGTAGTGCTGTGATAAAATTGGGTACTCATGGGACAAATTATCAGTGCCTTTTCCTGTGCTTGGAATTTTTTTTATGGCAAGTGTGGTAACTGAGATAACTTGTATAAGGGTCCAGCTGGATGGAATATCTTATTTCTTTTCCATTTCTGGAGTCTCTTGACTTTTTTCTTTGTTTTTCTTTTAAAATTACGTTTAACTTAAAACCTTCATATGTTGAGTTACTTTTAGAAATAACTTGTTCAATATTTTAGCATCATAAAGCCTTCTGTACGGGCATTGAGTCATAGCTGATAAATTCATCAGCTCATCATCATCACAGAACTGCCTTCTGTGAGTCCTTTATGGCTCCTTTCCTTATAATAACTTTGAGGGAAGGCAGGCTGAAAGGTAAATGCCCAGCTGGAAATATTTGTTTCTTTTTGGTTCTGCTGACCTCGTGTTCCAAGGCTGCTTTATCTTTGGTTGGTGTCTTTGATAAATCTGAGACTGCTTTGCCCAAAACACGTTCTACCTTGGCTACAAGCAGTTTGTTTTGGTGGTAGGGCTGAAGTTTGCAATGCCTCCATAGCAGGAGCCTGTTCTAAGCAAGTTAAAATTCTGTGCAAGGCTTCACCAAGCTTTTAGTATTAATGTGGCTGAACTAGTGCAAATGAGCTGGGCACTGAAGATATCAGTTGTGTGAAGAAGGCTCATTACCTGTTTTGGTGATATTGAAAAAAAATGTATATTTCAATACAGCTATTGAAAAGAATTACATAATGTCGTGAACCAGAGAGACTGTATGGAGGGTTTTGAGAGGAGGGAGGTTATAGAAGCTTGTTGCTTAAATTACATCTCCTGAAGTAATGTGAAAATCCAGGTGGTTAGAGAAGCCAACGAGCTGGATGTTTCTACTGATATATTGGACATAAAAAGTAAAAGGAGGGTGATCATGACACTCTGAATTTGCACCACTTAGCTCTTTTCTGGAGCATCTCCACATCCACCAAGAGTTGGTAATCCCAATATGCCTTTTCAAGTTTTACCTGCAGACCCAGAAGATGTTTTTGGACAGTGTGTGGGCCTGTTCCT